TGCAATTTGTCAAACTTACACAAAGTCAGGGAATCCCCAAGTACCCAGATTGCATAATTATAAAGCATTCTATCATTTTTAAGATTAAATTAAAATGTTTTTAATTGTAAAGTACACATAAAATTTACCACTTAACCATTTTAAAACATACAACTCAGTAGCGTTAAGTACGTTCATTCTGATATAGAATCACCACCCTCCATCTCCGCAACTTTTTCATCTTGCAAATCTGAAACTCTCCTCCCACCAATCAACTCCCCATCCCCTCTCCCCACAGCCCCTGGAAGCCTCCATTCTACTTTTTGCCTCTATTAATTTGACATGTGGAATCACACAGAATTTTTCTCTTTTGACTGGCTTATTTCACTTAGCATAATATCTCCAAGATTCATTTATACTGTGGCATGTGTCAGATTCCTTCTTTCCCTTTTAAGGCTGAGAAATACTCCATTGTGTGTAAATACCACATTTCATATATCCCTTCATCTGTAGCTACACCATGGGGCTGCTTTCATCTTCTGGCTAATAACGCTGCAGTGGACGTAACTTCCCAACATTCTTGGATCATCTGTACTTTCATCCGTTCCCTCCCCTACCCAGCATCCAGTTACTGTTATTCGCAAGGGCTGTATTCTATTTATCTACTCTATTTATCTTTTTATTTCCCTTACACAAAACCCAGCACAGAAGAGCTACTTTTAAAATGTTTGAATAGGTCTTCCTACATTAATGTTTTTTAGATTTTAAGCAAAATCTATAGAGTTTTCTTTTGTTTTTTCTTCGAATCTCATAGTAAAGGTGTACATAAAATTTTGACAAAAATTAAATCTATAAAAAAGGAAAAGGATTTGCTACTTTAAGTATGGATTGGCAGAGCAAGAAAAGTTGCTGAAGAAGTTGGTGGGAGGTTGTATTTTTACACTAGTATGCACAGCGCTGTGGATAATAAAGTCATTTATTTCTGGAATTCTCAGAAACCTTGGGAATCACAACTTCACCTGTTAACAAAGATTCAACTCATTAGTGATGGAGTTTTTGATTGATTCTATATATCAAGAAGATAATCCACAGTAAAACTTGTCTTTTGATAGCGAAGTCCTTGATAGGGTTGAGCAGCTGTGTTTAACTGTCCTTCGGGTCATAGATGGAAAAACTCCTCTAATGCCACCTAAGCGCAAATGCTCACAGCCTGACTCCCCCAGAATTAATATTGCCATCAGCCAGTAGCCCCAGCACCTAGAGAGTTACCTAAGAAGACAAAAGGTTTAATCAGTGTAGTAAGAGAACTAAATCAGCACTTCACAAGGAGAGAATTGTCTGCGCTGGAGAATGGAGTGGGGTTGGCCATGCCAACTGCAGGATGGAGCTGGACAAAGGAAGGGGTGCTCTGCATCCTTGCCTTGGGCCTGTGGTGAAAACAACCTTCACAGCCGCTTGCTTTCTTCTGGAGCAGTTAGTCTCTGGAGCACTGGTTCTGAGAGCTGCAGGGAACCCGAAGAGCTCCAGTGCTAAACAGAACATCCCTGCTGTCTAGCAGGTGCCAGAGGTCCTACAGTTAGAGCCAAGACTTCAGAGCAAAGCAACATCTACAGGAGCCCATGGGCTTGGTGGCAACACCAGGGCTTTGAAGGCCCAGACAGGGACTAGACCCTGTCTCTGCCATTTGCCAAGTTGCACCTTTGTGGGCAGGTCACCCAAGCTACCCCAGTTATTCCTCTGTAAACTTCGCTTCCCTCCCTTTTCGAGCTGAAAAATATTCCATTGTAATGTTTCAGACTGGTAAATTGTGAAGTGTGTGAGGCAGTACCTCCCCCAGAATCTGTGACAAGATGAAGTGTACTACTGCAGTTGTTGTCATTGTCTTAGAAGGGAAGAATTGGCTTAACCCAACAGGATTTGCTTGCCTAACTCCCGTTCACCCTTCTAAGCTCAGCCAAAAAGTGTCCATTTCCTGTCATACTGTTTGACCTCCTTTCTCAAAAGGATTCACCTTTTCTTTCGACTCCGGTGAATGTTTTGCTCACTGCCCCCAGTGACACCACACAGCATGATAATAATATTTGTTTCCATGTCTGACACAGTCAGTGTTATTGCTTAAGCTCTTTTCAGAACCCCCGCCCCCTTTGTCACATTCCCCTGAAGATTTCTCATCCATGTCCTTTTGTCCATTTTTATGGCACAGACACCTGGTCCAGGGGGATGTCATCTGCAGTAAGCAGATAGCAGACCCAAACTGTCCCTGTCTCCCCAAAGATGAGATTCTTCCTGCTCTCCTGTGGCTAAGTTCTGCCTCGGGCTACCCTTACATACACATCTGGCTGCAGACTGGCGAATTTGTCGGTCCCTCAGCAGATATCTTCCTGACAGTGCTGGGCCGGAGCTCCAGGGGTGAATGCTAACAACTCCAATGAGAATTTCCTCTGAGTAGCTCTAAACCCACTGGACACGAGTGTCATTCACCTGGCATCATATTCCAAGACCTTTTTACTGTCAGGCCAGGCAGTGTCTTCCCCCACACCAAGATCACAGGGCTCCTACAGCAGGAACCAGGGTCAAACTCATTCTGTAGTTCTTTAACTGACATCCCTGAATTTCCAACTGGAGGCTGGGCTCTGTACTATGCCTACGGTGCACCAGGATGAGTTCAGCAGGGCCCTGTCCTCCCAAGCTCGTGTTCCAAGGGGACACTAGGGAAGTCTTTCCAAACACGGATGAGTGACTGCCACACCCAGGCCTGACTTAGCAGGAGGGCAGTCCAGGCAAAAGGACTAGGACCATAAAAAAAGTAAAGGGAAAAGTAGGAATGAACATGCTATGTAGGGAGCAGAGGCAAAGGGACCCAGAAAGACTGAGAAAGAAAGCTAAGGTCGTCTTGGAAAGGCTCGCTTGCCCAGCTAAAGGGCTTTTCCTTTCCCCTTCCACAAAGGACGCTTTGTGTGCATCACACGCATTCATTGTAAGGTGTGCAATGTTGAGCAAAGTGGGTACCATTCCTGCCCAAATGGAGCATCTGGTCTAATGGAAACAACAGACATGGAAGTCCCCAAAAGGTGACATCTCTGCAATCAGAGTTCTTGAGTAGGATTGGTGACATGATCCAGTTTGCACCTTAGAACTCACTCACTCTCTCCAGAGGAATTGGTATAGACTAGGAAGAAAGAGACAGGGGAGGGATGTAGAGGAGAAGTGGGAGTCCGGGCCTACACCAGGGTCGTGGGTGGTGGGCAGGGAGTGAGTGTGTGAGATACTGCACAGGTAGAACGGAAAGGACTTGGGAAGTCTCATATGTCTGCGATGTGTAACTAGCAGATTTGAGGTGTAGTCCTGATGGGATAATAATACCTGGGAGTATGGATGAGTTTGAGTTTGAGGTAACAGTGACCAATCTAGGTGGGGGTAAAGACCTGTACGTTTGGAGATATAGAAAAGTGTCTGAGCTGACAGTATGTGTCATGAGTTGCCAATGTATGAGTGACACTGTGCCATGGATGAGATCACCTGCAGAGAGAATTAATTGCCCTGCCGTGGCCCCAAAGGTAAGAAGCAAAACTTCCAAACCTCAGGAATGGTGTTCTAGTGAGAATCCTGTTGGTTATCAGTAGCTGGTCTCTCAGACGTTCAGTGACGAAGATAGCAACCCATGCCATTGTATTAAATGTCATGAACAGATCTTTTTCCCCTGGAAACTAGCTTTTTTTTTTCTCCTCTTATACACAATACCAAGTTTCTACTGTTTTCCTCATTGCTTCCTCATCCACGAATCTCAGAGCTAATGCTGTAACTAAATTTTAAAAACTATATAGGATCAACATATGTAGATACTCTATTCCCATTTTATATGCTTCTGCCTGAATTTTTCCTTGTTGTCTCAGATGCTTTGTAAAATTAGATAGGGCACAACTGTATGAAACTAAATTTTCCCCCACCCACATATTCTTGGGTCATCCTTGAAGGCTGTGCAGTAAGTCTTCCCAGTTGCAAGCTAATATTGGCTAGATTGAAACAGGAGAGACGCTTGGAACTTGCAGAAGCTAGAGAGTAAATTTAACACTCACGTAACTCATTAAAACAGGATAAAAGTGGAACTTCAAACATCTCTGTGTTTGCCACCAAGTCTGTGAAGGGGGTGGGGGTACCCTTAATTCAGCTCAAGATGGAAAAGTCTGATCTTTCAGAGTTGAGAATACACCACCAAAATTAAAGGCTTGTCTGTGTAGATAAGCACTCCAAATGTGTTCAAAGAAAGATCGAGGTGTTGACTATACAAGACTGGGATTTTTAAAGCATAGGGTATCATCTTCTTGACTTGTAAAATGTAGTTGGTGAAAGCAAAGTTCCTCATCAAAAACAGCTTACACAGAAAATTGACTAGATGGTAAATTTTATTTTTGATCACCCTATAATTGTTTTAAAATTATAATTTGGTGTAGGTTAAGATCACTGGGTAAATGGGTTTCAAACTGTGCTGGTGCCCATTGAGGGTCAAAGGTGCCTGCGGGTGGGGCTGAGGAGAAGGCCACCAAGCAAGGAGAGCCCAGCCACCCACCCCCTCTCCCCAGCTCCCTGCAGAGCAGCTCGGTTCTGCCTATGGAGCAGGGCTCCTTGTGCATGAGGTTCTGCATGAACCTAGGGCTCTGTTCTTAAAAGTGAAAAAGAAAAGTTGGAAATAGTCACATTGCAAGGCATGCCACTAGCTACTGTTGCTTTATGATTGTCACTGGTGCGGAAGGATGAAGACTTCCGAGTCACTGATGAAGACTCGGAAATCTGACCTTGGATTCCTTCTCTGCTTCCATCCACCCTCTGTGACTTTGCGGTTTGACTCTTTCTCCTGGAAACAGCTTCTTCAGCCATAGTTTAGAATGATTCTGGTGATGCCCATGACTTCATTAATTAGAATTACGAAATCAGCAGGTGTGAAAGTTTTGCTAGAAGGATGTTAAGTACCGATGGCCCTCCCTCTGTGCCTCTGACCCTCCTGTCTCTTCTCCATTTCCCAGGAGGAACCCATCACCTTCTGCGAGGAGGCCTTCGTGTCCCACTATCGCTCCGGAGCCATGAGGCAGTTCCTGCAAAACGCCACACAGCTGCAGCTCTTCAAGCAGGTGCCCAGCCTTCCTTAGTGTCCCGTGTCTGGCCCCCTGGAGCTGTATCCACCCCAGGCCCTGAGGCTGCAGGCGAGAAGGGAGCCTAAGCTAGAGCTTGGGGAAGGGGACTGGGTATAAAGAAGGTTGGGGGTGCTGGGGATTTAGCTCAGCAGCACAGCGCCCGCCTGGCAAGTGCAAGGTCATAAGTTCGATTCCCGGTACTGGGAAAAAAAAAAAAAAAAAGAAGGCTAGTCAGCCACCAGATAAGCCCTTTGCAAATGTACTGTGTTTTGTTTTGTTTTGCTGCATAAGCAGCTAGGTTTTTTAGAAACCTGGAAAGTGTGGCTGGACGTGGGACATACACTAAGATGCCCAGTTGGATGGTTTTCCCTGTTCTGTGGACAAACTGTTGTGCCTCTACACCCTTTCTCTCTCTTTCTCCCTCTAGTTTATTGATGGGCGATTAGACCTTCTCAATTCTGGTGAAGGTTTCAGCGATGTTTTTGAGGAGGAGATCAACATGGGGGAATATGCTGGTGAGAAGCCCTCTTTTCCCTTCTGGAGTATAGGCTGTTCTAGAGTAGGTGCAGCTGGCATGCAGTGGCGGGGACTCATTCTCTCCTTCATTAGGGGTTGGGAAGATACAGATTTCAACCTTAGCCTTGAAATGGTTGGGAAGTTCCTCTCCAGTTTCGATGAGATGCACGTTGGCCTCTATGACATCTATGGGGCTGGTTACTTTACCTGCATAGGCAGAGTCAGGTGTAGTGGTGCAGGGGATGCACACAAGATACTGAACTAGGGATCTGGATTCAAATCAAGACCCTTCCTCTTTGCCAGCTGTGGGACCTGGGTCAAGTCACTAATTCCTTTGTAGCTGAAGTTCTCCTATTTATGCCCTGAGAGTGACACTGCCTGCCTCACAGCACTCCTGGAGCTGAGATGAAATCAAAGTGAGGAGGACAGTTTTGTACTGTCACCCAAAACAGTCTCTGGCCCAGCAAATGTTGCTTTAGACTGTGAACATCATTGCTGCCAACCCAGTCTCTTTCGAACATGAGGGATCATCCACCCATTTATCAGGGCCAGTACCAGAGGCCCAGAGAATCCCAGTCCCATAAGCTCCATCTTTGACAGTGAAGGTACTGTCAAATAATACTTGTAGGTTCAGTGTTTGACAGCAGTGGTAGTGCTCAGAGGCTCAGACTTTGGATGCAGAATGTTAACACTCATGTTGCTAGTCCCTGTTACTGCTATGCATGCCCAACCAGGACCAGCCTGTTAATCGGAAAGCGGTGTACAACTTGCAGAGCCAGGCACAGTCTCCGCTCATTCATACCACAGGCCCTGCCAACCCGTGCTGCACAGAGAGCGTACACAGTTAGTAAGACCAGTATGGGGTCTATACACAGTAGTGGCGGATTGTTGACAAGAATTTCCTGAGCACTGAGGTGTCCAGAACTCACAAGCAATGGAGGACCTAATGTCCTAACCCTAATTCTGCCCTCATGGGGGTTAGGAAAGAGAAATGCATAACTAAAGATACAAAAATTAAAACAGCATAAGAACAAGAGGAGCAGGGTTTTATGCATTGGAATCAGGCTTTCATGATCCTCCTTGCATGCTAGGAGAGTTTCCCAGTGCAGCAGGCTTTGAGTCGGGATTCAGCCATGGGGTGTGAGGTCTGAGCAGAAGACAGGCTGTATTAAACTAGGTTTGTGGCTTCTAAAAAAGCTTTGGTGATGAGACCCCTTATCCTGTATCAGATGAGATGACCAGCAGCACCTCCTCCTTCCTTCCCTGTCACTAGTTGGGTACCCTGGAGGGTGAGGGTATGTGCAGTAGGTTCTGTACACTGGGACGCCCAGCCCACTGGTGTTTCCTGCCCACGCATGGCTCACAGTATGTCAGAGAACCTGGGCTTCTAAGTGGGTGTTACCTGTGCTCAGGGGATGTTCAGAGAAGAGAAGAAGCAGCGTCCAGAGGAAATGACATTTCAGCTCTCTGTTGAGTTTCCCAGGCGGAGAGAGTAAGGGGTCGGGGGTCAGGCGAGGGAACAGCCTCACAAGAGCCTAGGGCTGAAAGAACCCTGGTTTGGGAACCACAGACGGTACCTTGTATCGGGAGCAGAAGGCCGTGCAGAATTAAAGCCTGGAATGGAGAGGCAGAGGGAGGTGAGGTGGGACTGCTGAGGAGTCTACCCCCGCTCCTTTTGGCAGCTTGGAGGCTTGGAAGGTTTGCAGTCAGGGCACTGGTGCAGACAATTTGGAAAGAAAACTGTAGCCATGATTCACTGCTGCCTTCTTCAGGGTGGGACATGGGGGCCCCCGGGCCACTGTCGTGACTGAGTTTTCCCAGTCCTGCATGCTGAAAGCGATTTAAAGAACTCTTTAAATCACAGCTTCTCTGACTTTTCTTTCCCCAGGCAGTGATAAACTGTACCATCAGTGGCTCTCCACGGTCCGGGTAAGTGTGCCCTGTTCAGAGCCGCCTGGCCTCCTCCTTGGCTTCTTGGCTGCCTCTGCTCCCCAATCACTTACAAGGCTGCTGTGAGGCCTAGAGTTCTCCATTCTTTCAGCGGAAGCTGATTTTGTCTTCAAGACAGGCCGTTCTCCTGCCAGGCAGAGGCTAGAAGGATGGGATGGTCCAGCCTCTCTGGGTGTAGGGAGGAAAGGGAAGCAAGACAGGCATCTCCCTCTCCGGGAAGCCAGCCAAGGCTAGTGAACAGAATGCTGTCGCCCTAGAACATCTCTGGGAGTCTTCTTCCAGGGCCAGTGCCCTTGTCATCATCATGGGGAAAACAAAAGTGTGTCTGTCTTCCTGCTCTACAGTATGTTTCACAGCAAAGGCCCCTGGGAAGATGGAGAACACATCCCTGAGAGATTTTTTTTTATCTCACAGTTGGTGTAAACAATTTCTTGGGTTGGGAGCCAGTTGCTTAGGCCTCAAGAAACTCTGAAGAATTCAAATTCTTGCTTACCTTTCCATGAGCTTATAATTGAGCATGTGCTGGAGGCCTACTGTGTGCCGGGCAGTAGCTTGGTACTGGGGACACACAGGGAGCAGCACAAGCCCGGCCCTGGAGGAGCTCCCCATCTTGCTGGGGAGGCAGGCACGTAAACAGGCAACTCCAGCATAATGCGATAAGTGTTCTCTCCTGCTTCGGGGCCAAGAGCACTGCTGCCAAGGCAGGTCCCTTGGAAGTGGCTGCAGTTGGCCGAGAGTAAGCAATTCCTTGATGAAAGACTGCCTTTGTTCTTCTCCTATGGCCAAACACAGCACTTGGCAAATCAGAGACAAGCAATAAGGACTTGTTGATTGATTGATAAAGGGAGTTTCAATACTCCAAAGGACCATTTAACTAGGATACTGAGTAATTTTGGAAGGCATTATGGAATAAATGAGTGGGTGAAAATTTCCTATTGTCCTACAACAAAATGCTTTCTAGGTCAAATTGTAATGTTTTTAATTAAAGCTCAAAATTTCTAATGCAAAGAGTTACCAAAAACTGTGCAAAAAGTTAAAGCCAGTAATTGCATTGCTGTCTCTTATGCAGTTATATACCCACTGGTTCTAGTCTCTCTCCGCTCAAATCAGTTGGATTGACTTTCCAAACCACCCCAGATCTGATTATGTAAAGCATTTGATTAAAACCTTCCAGAGTGTAGCCCTATTACCTGGGCATGCTGGGCCTTTCCTGATCTGTCCCCAGCTGGCCTGCTAGCCTCACTTCCTGTCTTTCCCGTGATACACTGAGCACTGTATAGTAACCACTCAGTGCTTCCAGAATATACCATGGCTTTTCAGTTTCCATGCTTTTTTTATATGCTCTTTCCTGCCCCAAGGATATCATATCTTCCTGTCCCCCACATCTACTCCTACTCATCCTTCATGGATTAGGTCCAGTGTCACTCGCTGTGAGATCTTCCTTTGCCTTCTGTGTCTCCAAGATCCCTGAGCACAGCCACACCACCAACTCTGGCATTATTTACCCTGATGAGCCCTGCCCCAGGCCAGAAGTCTTCAGGGCAGTGATCAGGCCTCCCTTGGCTCCAGACCTCCGAGCCTAAAAACACGAGCCCTTACCACACACCCACAAGGATGAGACTGAGGAACAGGCTTGCAGACAGCTCTGGAAAGGTGGCCTTGGCTGTCTTCACTGCCTCTTTTGGGCAGAAAATCTTCCCTCTGCACCGTCTTCCCTGATTCCTGAAGAATGTGAGCAAGACATTGGTGTGGAGGATTTCTACTGCAGCTCTGGTTGACATTGACGGCCACTCATTTTTTCTTATTCTCAAGATTTAGATGTTAAAGAAGGTAGCCTGCCTGAGAGAGTTTTAAAAACAACACAGAAAACCCAGGTGAGAGAAGGAAGTTGCCCAGGTGAGAGAAGGAAGTTGCCCAGGTGAGGAAAGAAGTTGCCCAGGGTGAGGGCAGTGTGTTTCCAGATAGTCCTGGTCGATCAGGACCCCATTTTCTGCCCCAGCTCAGTGTCAGGTAGAGAGTCAGTGGTTATGAAACTCACCTGCACATTGTCCGTGGTAACTGGAAATTCTGGAAAGCTACCCGTGACTATGGGAAAACCCTTAACTCAGACAGCCTGGGACAGGGGACAGGTATTGTGCAGAGCATTGAACCTATAGTCTCCCCTCAGCTATTGTCACACTCCTCATCCCCAGCGTGCATATACTACACACACACACACACACACACACACACGCACGCACCCCTACCCCGAGCAGTTCTGCCACAATCCCAGCTATCACTGCCATGGCCCAGGAACCATCTGGGCCTGCTTCTGTGCTCACCCCCTAGACCCTTGAAATGTTGCCTGACTTGATGAAAGTGAAAAGGTCTTTGTTGATGTTGGCCTTCTCTATCTTCTGCCCCACAAGTGATTGACATTTTTTATTATAGAAAGGAAGCGGAGCAATTCTCAATACTGTAAAGACAAAAGCCAATCCAGCCATGAAGACTGTCTACAAGTTCGTAAGTACCAGCTTTGGTCTCAGGCTACACACAGATCGATTCCTCACCGCAACCAGCCACTTACATACACCTGATTCTCCATTGCATAGGTGACTCGAGGGCCACTGCCCTGTGTCCTCATGGTCTCAGTGTTTCAAGACTTACTTGGCCTTGATATTTTATGACCAGGTCAGTGACATTTTAAATTTAAGGTGTTGCCACTCACGGTCACTGCAGTAAAGACATGGGAGGCCACTGTTTTAGTGTTTGAAAGGTAGGCTGAGCGGCTAAACGCCAGGCTGTTCCATGCATTCTGGAGACCCAGAGGCATCGCCTGAACGTGTCCTGACAAGACTTTCCTGTGTGTCCCCATTCTGATGTTCAGGCAGCTCCTTTGCCGGCTACTGAAGAATGCTGTGGTGGGAATGCTCCCTAATTTGTGTCCCAAATTCTTCATCATCTCTCTCATTGCTGCCCAGTAGGAAATGCATTATTTGTGAGACTCATGCCCACAACAGAGTGAAAACAGGAGAACCCGCCAGTGCCTGGTGCTCCGTCTTTTACAAACCTCAAGTATTTTCTGTTTCTTGTGATTGCTCTTGCTTGCTAATTTGCCCCTGAGCCACTGAAGTGGGATGGTCTTGTTTTATATCATTTTTAATTGTGTTAATCCTCTCTGGGTTTAAACTGTAGTTCCTGAAACAGGGCAGGTGGACGCCAACAGAACAAACAGGTCTAAAATGACATCAAACAAAAGGCAGGGTGTCCACAAAATGAGATGTAGGAGATGGCATCAGAGAAATGTAGCAGTATGTCTGTTGGGGCTGTTCAGCCTGAGCAGAAACTGGTCCTGAGTCCCTGCCCTGGCGAAATGTAACGGATACCCTCAATCTCACAGCCGGGAAAGCTGCTGTTCTACTCTTACCGGTAGCTGTCGGCAGGCTGCTGAGATAAATAATTATAGAGAGCAGAGGAAGGGCTTGAGAAGGGGGGAAAAATCTGTGCCATCAAAATGCAGAAAATAAAATCTCGTCAGCCCCTTTAAGGGATTTTTTTTTAACCTTTTACCATTGTATTTGTTTTCATAGCCATTATGTTTTCGACTTGATGATCCCATTTTTCCTTCCTTTTTCTAGTAATCAGAGAAGGTGATTCACAACGGACTGAAATCAAGCACAGTCCCTGCTGGAAACAGAAAGGGAATCTTAACTTAAATTAATTTTTCATGCAGGCAAAAGATCATGCAAAAATGGGAATAAAAGAGGTGAAAAACCGCTTGAAGCAAAAGGTACTTGAAGTTCTTATTCAAAATGTATAAGCACCGTGTATGAAATGCGTGGCCACAAAAAAGTAGGATGTGATCAATAGAGGGCTGTTTGATACAGTGTTGTTAGCACACTTCAAAATGCATTACCAGCTGTCCGGGAGTTTTCACACTGTTATAAATATTCACAGACAAAAAACTGTCTTCAAATAACATTAAGATTCTGGCTTAAACCCACAAAGGCAAGCAAGTTCAGAGTCACCACTTTTGGTCTGTCTCCTCCCCACCCCACTAGGCCTGAGGTTTGAAGGCATTTGTAGAAGTTGGCATGCCCCCCGATCCTGGCACCACCCCTTCCTCCAGGCACCTTGTGCCCCAGTGCCGGGGGTAACCCACACCCTGGAGCTCCAGGGAAAGGACTGCCCTGGTTCCGCAGGCACGCGGCTCCCACACAGACTGCACAGCAGGTGGGCTGGAGGAGGGTGCTGCAGGCTCTCCCACCGTGCTGGATTAAACAGGAGGAGGCCAGCAGTTTATGTTTGAGCAATGCATCTTCTTAGACTATTGATAAAACCGTGTGAAGGCACACTGGCTGCTCCTGGCTGAGATTCCCCTAGTCTGAACCTCTGCGCTGTATTATTCCCATTTCATAAATTAAGAGACTATGTTTCAGAGGTAACGTAATTTGCCCAAGGCCACAGTGTATGAGCCAGGCAGAGGCAGGATTAGATTCCAGAGCCATGACTCCCATCATCTGGGTACTTCCCACTACAGTACTTCGTGTTGCCTTCCTAAACCGAGTGTTTTGTTTTCCAAAAAATACACGGTATCACTTACCTCATTATCCCAGCGCCCCCAAATGTACCATTCTAATCAGGGCCTTTGTCTATCTCGGCAGTTTTGTTTTTTTTGTTTTGTTTTGTTTTTAATTGAAAGCAGTTTCAATTCTATGAAGTCAGAAAGGACCTCTAATTAACTTGAAATGGTCGAAGGAATTGATTCCTTTCTTTTAATTGGAAAATGATTCGCTCTGACTAAGCATTTAAATTCTTAGTTCCAGCTGACAGTGAATTCTTAAATGCTGAGATCCACATCCTAAAATACAAACCCTGTAGTGTAACTCCAGATAACCCTTCACCGTAGTCTCCTGCACCCTGCGAGAGGCTGGCAGGTGGGACTCTACTTGGCTGTTATTCAGGTCACTAAATGTGTGTCTTATCTCCTATCCCGGCCACACAGAGCTGGCTTGGACTGCAGATACAAGCGTCAGGGAGGGGGCTTTCCCTCCTGTGTCTAGGCAGTAGGCTCTGGCTGGTTAGACTGTCACCTAAGGCAAGCAAAGACGGGTCCCCCTGAAGACAATGGACACATGTGCCCTCATGGGTCACATTTACTCTCTGCAGACCATGAAGCCTGGGATATCACGTCACCTTTGTACTCAGATGTGCAGGCATCTGGCCTTCAGAAAAGCCCCTTTCTGTGATAGGTGTCCCTTTCTGCAACAACTGTGGAGCCCAGCTTTTTAAACGCGTTCATTCAGAGGTTCATTTAAACAATCTAGATCGTGTTCCTTCCACGCCACCTCCCTTTCCGTTCCTTGACAGTACCTAAAGCCTATTTTTTCCCTCCCCTTCTCTTCCCCCTGCCAGTCTTTTCAAGAATAGCTTCAGGAGATAATGTTCTATAGAGAGTGTCAGTACATTTCAGGTGACACAAACGGTGAAGGCATTTTATAGAAATGTGGCTTGTCACCATTGGACTGTTGACAGATCTATTAGTGCACCCTTTTCAATTTTCACTTTTCCCCCCTTCGGTCTTACAGATTTCCACAGACTTGATATTTTGCAGTTGTTCTTAGAAGAGCTGTTTTGTAATTGAAACTCTAGCATTGTTCAGTACATGCAGGCCCCGGGTCTCCGGCGCTCTCCAGCTCCCTTTCTTGAACTAATTTAGGATTTGGCTTCGCCTGACCTCTCTCACTGCAGTGGAAAATATTTCCTTGGCTTTTTTCTTCCCCTTCCCGGTTGCCCCCTCCCCTTTACATGGAACCTCTCTATCTGGCTCCCGAGATGCATCGAACACAGACATCTCAAGTTTGGTTTTTGCTATGAAATTGAGGCAGTTCCCAACAAAGATCCAATTTTCAAATGTACTGGGTTGCCACCTGGCCTCCTCTAACTCTGCATAGCAATGGTGACCTCCCAGATATAATCAAGAACCCAATCTTGCCCTCTTTGCTCTTGCCTTGGGTTTGAATTGCAAATAGAAAATGTGGGGCCGACCTGTGGAGAGGTCATTGTGGTATGTGGCGGGTCCATCTCTAATATGAGTGAGCAGGGCCCCTTCTCTGTCCCTTGTTCATTTGTGCTGCAGATTTCAAAGCCTCTGAAAGAGGAGCTTTCAGGATATCTGTGTGACCATTGGCAAATAATTGTTCATAGATCCTATACTGTGGCTTTATTCCACACCTGCTCTGCTTCAGCTCAGCAACAAAAAAAGAAAGATGGAGGTATATTTCTCTGGGTAAATGGTGCGAGGTGGTCAAGTTCTGCTATCGGCTGGCCTCCTTTGAAGTCTGACTTGTTCAAAATTAGGAAGAAGAAGAAATGACAAGGATGCTATGCAGCCGTCACTTTCTAAGGGAGGCTGTGGTGCTTCACAGGAATGTTCCCTGACGGACCTGGGTTGCAGAAGAATGTTGACAAATTGCATTCCACTCCTGCTCCGTGCCAGGCTGGCATGAGGATGCCCTGCACCCACTTCCTTCTCACCTGCAGGAAACATTAAGATACTCATATAAGAACGTAATTTTGAGCCTCGTGAAGAACTCCTGAAATTTTTCTCTTTTTTCTTTAGTGCCAAAATGTTATAACTGAATGGGTTCATTTCAGAGCCCTTTGTAAAGCTTCTAAACCTTTGATCTTTAGAAGACAAATTGAGCTTGTTTAGAGCCTCTGTGATTGAAAGGGGCAAATTCACAGTTGGCTTGAGTTTCTGGCCAAACACTTCCAAGTGCAGTGAAGGGAGAGAGCAAGCACATGAGGTGAGGGAGAGCCAGGTAGACTCTTGTAGAACAGACATTTTCACACCTTCTCACACAGCTGTCAGCTCCCTGTCTGCAGGCACATTGAAATAAGCCGCTGCCTCAATCACAGAAATGCAACTTGGGCTCCTGGTTTAATATCAATATTCATATTTTAATCTGAATCTCAGAGTGGAGAAGGTAGTTCTCCCACCAGCAATCTAAATCAGAGACAGAGCGGCCTCTGCCTCACACCTGTGAGGACACGTGCATTTAGGCTTCTGAGGCAGATGAGCTGGGCTCCATGCTGGTTATGTAAGATGTTACTCTGTGGCCTTGGATGAGTTACTAGACTTCTCTGAACCTAGCCAGAGGAAATAGATTTTTACTGGATTAGAAGAGGTAATGTATATAAATAGCTCTTAGTAGCCACTCCATAAGTGAGAACTTCTCTCCATTTTCTTTTTCTTTTTTTTTTTTTTTTGATTCGGGCTCTCTATGCAGCCCAGGCTGGCCCTGAACTCTCGGCAACCTCCTGCCTCAACCTCCCAAGTGCTGGGATTACGGGCATGCACCACCGCATCCAGCTATCCATTTTCTTTTTGTTCGTTTGTTTGCTTGTGGGTTTTTTGGTACTAGGAATTGAACTCAGGACCTTGCACTTGCCAGGCAGGCACTTGTGCCACTGAGTTATATCCGTGACCCTGTCCGTTTTCTCATATCACACATTTGGAGCAGCTTGTCTGCCCATGCGCCCCCATGCACACATCCCCTGAGTAGTGGCTGGCATGGGGCCACCTCCCTTTAGGTTCCCCATGTGGCCACCAGAGGAATGTCTCTGGGACACAGGGCTGACCAAGCCACTGCTTTAGTTAAGACTTTCGCGACACTGCAAACCTTCCACCGCCTCACCCAGCAGGGAGGGTGCCCGTCATTGTGTACACAGGCCGTGCTGCTCCTCTTGACCAGGATGCCACCTCTCTCATCTCTGCCTTGGTGCCTCCAAGGCCACTCACAGCCCTCTTTGTCCTCCAGCACCTGAGACCCTGGCTTTCTCCCTCCCTGAGGGCTCACAGACTCTCCTGCCCAAGGACGCACTGCATGCTGTGCCCATCTTCTCCACAGGGAGGTGGAGGTTAGCTCAGTCAGGATTTGTGATTCCAGGAAATGCTCAGGGAAAGTGACAGGAATAGAATTATTGTCTGCCGCCTTTGCTCTCTATGGAGGGATGGGGTCTGGTAGAGCTCCAGCGTTCTGAGCCTCAGGGCTCCTGTGAAGAGATCTGCCACCCGCAGTGGCCTCTGATCCCGAGCTCTGTCTGGTGTCTTCCTTCCGTGTGACCCTCCAGGACAGAATATCCTTCCCATCAGCCTCCTGTTTTTGCTTTTTTAAAAATGACATTTAGAAGGTCAGTTTTCTCCTGTTTGCAAACAAAATACATGTTTATTGGGAAAAATTTCGACAAATCAGAGAAGCAAAAAGAAAATAGTCATGTTTTATAACCTTCATTCTCCCTTAGTATATCCTGAATATATCCCAGGCCACTAAACGGTTCTTCCACATGTCAGTATTTTAAATGACTACATAAAATTGTGTCTGCTGGGCATATATACATTATTTAATCCCGTTCTAGACACCTAAGTTCCAATTTTTTTTCTAGGCAAATATCTTCATAGGTAAAACTTTGCAACAATTCTTAGTTTTTCAGTAGGATAAATTTCCAGAACTAGAATCAGTGGGCCAAAGGGCATGTACATCTAGGTTTTTCACATAAATTACGTATTTATATTCCTACCAGCAAGATACAAGAACCTGCTGCCCAGGCCCTCCACTGACAGCTCAGTTAGTTCTAGGTGGTAATTTCTGCAGTTATGGGTATCCACAATTGCTATGTGCAGGATCTCTGCTAGCAGATACAGTAGGGGACATGGACTGTTCTGTTTCTTCCTTGACCTGGGCTCCTACTCTGCTCCCTGGGGCATCCTAGGAGGTAGCAATAGCCCTTCCCCAAGTGGGAAATAGAATAAAGAAGTGAAAACAGTGAGTGGAGTGGGCCGCATGACTTTATAAGGAATCTTGTGTGCCTCTAGATCTTCTTTTTTTTTTTCTTTTTTTTTTTTTTTTTTTTGGTACCGGTAATCAAACTCAGGACCTTACGCTTGCCAGGCAGGCGCTTGTGCCACTGAGCTATATCCCTGGCTTTAGATCTTCTAAATGAATCGCAACGTTGCTTTTTGACAGTGAGACACATGTGTACATTGGTTACATTTGCCTTCCAAATCATCAGTTCAATTTTACAAAGATTTGTTGGAGAGCATGTGCTCGATTCAAGAGAACCCAGACCCCAAAGGACTCACAGTCTACAGGGACACACAGATCACTAGCACAGGACAAACCAGTGGCTCACGGGTGTAGTGGGAGGGACTGCGGGAAAGGGGAGTGACTTCTGACTGCACTGAGCACCCCTCTGTCCAGGACACCTGCACTTGTGCTGTTTTTATGGGTGGAGGAATCAGTAGCTCTGGGTTCCTCCACATGGTAGCTTTGTGGTCTTGGGTGAGTTACCTTCTCCGAGCCCTATTTCCTCACCTGTAAAAGAGGGATAGTCCTGTTCACCTTGTGATCATTGTGGGAACGCAGTGTGAAAATGAAGGCTGAGGGTCTGGAAAAGTGCTCGCCAGGGAAAAGTACCTGCCCCTACACAGGGTAGCTGTCCTCTGTCCTTGGCACTGGGTAAGGATCTGACGTTCAGTTTGCACAGTACTGGGGCGTTTTTCAAAGCTTCCTCATGTCTTACCTCATTTAACTCATTCTCCCAGTAGCTTTGAAATTTTCCCAGCAGGTGATCATTTCCCATTGTAAAAATGAAGAGTTGCAGCGATTGTTTAAATTCAAAAGATCAGACAGCTAGTTAACGGTAAAAACAAAACTAGAAGACAACATTTTTTATTTATAAGCTTAAACTATGACACTTTCCCCAAAACTACCGCATGCATTTTCTTTTTTTAAAACAGCTATCATAGCTGGGTGTGGTGGCGCACACCTATAATCTCAGCTCTTGGGAGGCTGAGGCAGGAGGATCACTGTGAGTTTGAGGCCAGCCTGGGCCACATAGTGAGTTAAAGCCAGCCTGAACTGCACAGGGAGACCTTGCTTCAAAAAACAAAAATAAAATAAAATAAAATAAAATAAAATAGCTATCATAAGGCCAGAGCTGGTGGTGCATGCCTGTAATCCAAGCACTTGAGAGGCTGAGGCAGGAGGATCGTTGCAAGTTCGAGGCCAGCTTGGGCTACAATGTGAGTTCAAGGCCAGCCTGAACTTCCTAGTGAAATCCCAAACGCTTTTTGGTCTCAAGAAGACAAAGAAAGAGAAGGAGGGAGGAGGGAGGGAAGGAAGGAAGGAAGGAAGGAAGGAAGGAAGGAAGGAAGGAAGGAAGGAAGGAAGGAAAGAAGGAAGGAAGGAAGGAAGTTAGCTATCATATTACAGTTTTTCAACTTACATCTTCTTTTACCATATTACTTTGCAGCTCCATTTTCTCAGGCATGCATACGTACATGGAAGCACAATACAGCGGTATCTCCATTCACAAACTTGATTCTTTCCACAATTCTGGTCGCAGAATTCATTCCACCATTCTGGTTGCAAACAAACGTCAAGCATATGCTGGACCAGTCATGAATTTGTTACTGTGTGGCCTTTTCCGCCTCTTACATTTATAATCTCAGTCCCCCTCCCTGGATCCAAAATGTCTCCTTTGTCCTTTGTTGCTTTCTGGCCCAGAAGGAGGCCCCACCCGCTTTGTTCCACTTGACCTGAGCACCCTAGGACAGGCCCTTTCCAAATGGGGCATGTTTAGTTGGTGGTCAGCTTCCTCTTTCCTCATGGAGCCTTAGCCTGGCTGAGACTGCCAGTCCCTTGTGGGCCACTTCATCCAAGCCCTCCCTGTAAAGCCAAGAGATCATCAGGTCTCTATGTTCTTTACCAAGCAACAGAGGTACCTCGGGGCTGGCCTCCACAGGCAGCCAATTAGAAAACTAAGCCCAGAAGTAGGCAGCTGAATTTATGAGCTCAAGTAAATATATAGGGATTGGGAGTCATGTACAATTGCCATAGTTTCCTGAGTAGCTAATAATGTTCTACACGTGTACGTTGTATTACTTATCTCCTTTAATCATCGTAGCTACCACATCCCATTTTACAGATGAAGAAACAAGCTCAGAAATGTTATGTATGTTTCTTTCTTAATACATGATTATTAAATGACCAACCGCTTTCCCGCATGGCCTACCATTCAGATTGTTTAGCCAAGAAGTTAAGAGCCACCGATTATCAAAAGTCTCCAATGTGCAGAATTTAATGACTATTAAGGGACTGTGTTCTGTTGACCAAAGTGTATGTTTGTTTTTACAAAGAAAAGAGTTAGAAAATACCTTTACTATTTAATTCAGGCTGTGAGTTGTTTTTACTTGGTTAAAAAGAAAAGATTATTTAAATGTTATTTCTCTGTACTTTATTCTCTGCCTTACTGTGAAGATCTAAGCAACTTTCTTGACTTGACCTGAGTGAAATGTGCAATGCTTGTGCACACGTGGGCCATGTCTGTGTTCCACATGTCCCACGTGTGTTACGCCAGCGTTAGTCAGAGGACCTGTGACCTGCCTGTTGCACACTGCAGTTATTCTTTTTCTTAGACTTGGACTTCATTCATCAGAAGTACAAATGGAATATAAATTTCTAGATTTAAAAATATTTCTTTGGTTCCCTAACTGTCCCCTAAGCCAGGGGGTCCTCACTCAGAATTCAGACTCTTTATTCTCCTCTTGAAAGACTGAGAGGAGAGGTGGGGCGCAGGAGCACATCGCGTTCACAAAGAGTAACATCACCAGCAAACAAACTTCTGCACTCACAAATACTCAAAGCAATGCAAATTAAAACAACAATGAGGTCTGATTTTTTCACCTATTAAATTAGCAATACATTTTTAAAATGATAAGGCTAACAAGTACTGCGAAGCTGATAATGCATCAATTGTTGGTAGTTGGTGTAAATTGGAAAGCAATTTGGTAGAATGAATAAAAAGTCTTTCAAATGTTTATATTTTTTGGCCTAATAATTTCATTCCTAGAGATTCCCATAGAAAAAATACTTTAAAAAAGAAAGGGAAACTATAATATTTATCACTGATAGAAAGTTTTCTAAAAATTAGAAACAAATACCTAATAGCAGCAGAACAGCTTATTAAATGATTATGTATCTGCTGCATGAAATATTATGTATTCATTAAAATTATTGTAATGGCTATGTGGCACCATGGTGATGCTTATAATGTATTAGGGAAAATAGAATATAAAATTAAGAATGAGCTGTGATTGCAAGTAATTTTTAAATGTCTGCATGTAAATAAAGGGAATATGTAAAAATGAAAATAACTGTGTGAGATAGCAGGATAAAACATGATGTTTTTCACTATTGTGAATTATTATTTTCTTTATAATTTAATGTAGGTGGTTTTGGTCCCTCTAGTCCTTAAAAGTCAAAGGGCCAAATTAGCTTTCCATTTTCTCCATCTCTCCGAGAGGATAGGCTCAGAATCCCCCCAAGAGAGTTCCGTGTGGGGATCCTAGCTGTGGGGTGTGAGGAAGCACAGGGGTCAGGGCCGGACACCAACCCCAGACCCTATCCCTCCCTGCAGGACTTCGCAGAGAACGGCTGTGCCGCCACTGCAGAGGAGCCGCTGCCAAAGACTGCGCCATCACCCCTGGTGGAGGCCAAGGACCCCAAGCTCCGAGAGGATCGGAGACCAATCACAGTCCACTTTGGGCAGGTATATACCCTGGCCCTTTTATGGGTCTATTTCGGTTTTTGGTCTGAGGGTTTTATTTTGTTTGTAGCAGAAACTGTAGCACATGCCACAGACAGTTTCTCATTCCAGCTGTCCTTGGCAAAGCAGCTCTGCAGAGTTTTTCACTTGAGATGTTTATCTGGTACAAACAGGTTTGGAAGGTGAATATTCAAAAATCTGGGGCAGACAGCATGGCCTGGTCATCAGCTAGCTCTGCGATTGAATAAAGTCATTAAATGCAGCTGCCGCCTCCCCTACTCCCAAGCACTGTGTTTAAGGTGCCTGTTAGCTAAGCATCTCATTAGAACACTTTAGCATCCCAGGCCCTTCTTTGCACCTTCAAATAGAAGGCAACAAGCAAAGCCTTAAAAAAAAATCAATTAGGAGTTCTTTATTAATGTACTTCCTGAAAATCAATATTGGGAGTCATGCTTCTCAGAGTAAACATCCTTGCTACAATTCCAGAGATTAAATTCTTTACCCAACTATTTTCGATAATGTAAGCATTTGAAATTTTACCCCTCGCCCCGCTTAGTTTACACATTGTACTGTATATAGAAACTAAAATTTTGTATCCATTTCCTATACATAGTTATATTTTTGGTTGAAAAATATGTATCTTTCCCTACTTCTCTTGACTTGATTCCTTTGGTTAACAAAAGTCATATTTTTTTATGAGAAATGGCTCTGTTAGCAAGATATGGCCATAACTAGACTGCAGGTTATTTATTCTTAAATCACCTGATTCATTAGCCATTTATTAGCTGAGGCATGATTAAACTAGTCTTTATATGATTTTTTCCTTTCAGTATGATTGTTATTTTACCACATAAAGGACCTAGAATTGTACTTTGGAAACATTCATGGTTTTGACAGGTGTTTATCAAGTGCATAGGATGCACCAGACATGGAGCAATTCAGCAATGAAGGGAACTCATGAAATTATTGCTGTGATTATTACTGGAAGACATGAATTGGTTGAAACAGAGGAATCATTCTTCTCTCATCAGTCTTTTTAGATTATACATTCCTACCTCTTTTAACTTAGAGTGATTTACCCCCTTTTCTGCTTTTGTGCCTTAAACGGATGTTATAAAAATTGAAATGTCGTGAGTGCAAAAGAAGCAGCACGAATGGGGCAGTACTCATTCGGTTAATGATTATCCTCAAATCTGAGTGGTGTTGGCACCCCCAAAGAGCTGACTGCTCCCAACCAGGGCCCTGTTGGAGAATTCTGCACCCTGGTTTCCCGGCTGTGTTTGCTGAAAGCGCAGCCCCTGGTTGTCACCAGCATGGCATTCCACAGCCAGCTTCTTGCTTTCCTTTGTCCTCATTCCTGCACACACACTAACCTGCCATGAAAGGAGCCCCTTGCTGGAGTTTGGAGCCCATTACAGAGAAAGAGGGGGCGGGGGAGAGGGATTTCATGGTGTTAAACATTCCATTTTTGAAACACAAAAAAAGGAGGCCCTATTTGAAATGGAGAAAGACCTTCTTTCCATTTCAGCAAGAAGGAGAGACGCTTTAATGTCATTCCTAGCTAAATGCAGAATAAGAGTATGTGCGTGCACACGGGTGGGGGATAAACAATTAAAAAAGCCACCCCAAACTCTGTTGAAATAAGAGCTGTCTGTGCCTTCACAGGTCTGCAAACTGGAGAGGATGAAAGTGGCTTTTTTTCCCCGTTTGTCACTTCCCTCACGTGGCTGCCAGCATTATGCAAGTGTACAGGAAGGCAGGATTTTTTTTTAATGCATGCATGTGGATTAAGGTCAAGCCCCTAGTATCAGCCATGCAGCGGGCTCTCCCTTCCAGCTGCAGCCACAGAGCCTACCCACAGCCACGAGATGCCTTAATTGAGACGTGCTGTCAAAGTGACAAACACATTTGCATACAGTCTACACTCTATTTATTTTCTCTGGAAAGGTCTACAGTCTGCTGTTGGTTGAACACTCTTAATCAGTTTGCTGTAAGTGAACTGCCAGCTAGCTCACTTGTCCCGGCCCCTTCTTCATTAGGTGACAGATTAGCTACTGGGGGATGGGCCAGGAAACCACAGACCCCTTTCTTTTAACTCTTTCCAGCTTTGCCTGGTGGTTGGCTATCCTTCAGTGCTTCCCTAGAGCCTGGTTTGATGGTCCATTGGCCACAGCGTGGAGAGCTACTACTACTGGCAGGGGAGAGTTTCAGGGCCTCTGGTGCTCTTCCTAAAGGACAGGCCTTTGAGTTCCAATTCAAACATTTTTGCCACACTCTCCTGCCATCTGTACAGTTTTCATTACTTGATGTTTGTGTTTAAACAGACTCAAACCTGATACCCGTACTAACTTTAGCTTCATCTTAGGTGATTGGTATATCGTAAGTTTAACGTACTAGTCCACTTTTTCCTAAACATAAGAAAATGTTTTGCTTATCCATAGATAAGTGAAACCACTCATGTAGCCCCAGTGTTATACATTCTCTTTTTAGAAAAAAAAAAAAAATGGATTCCATAATATTGTTCCTTATCTCAGCCATAGTCTGAAAGGAAGGGATCATTAGCCCCATTTTGTGGAGATGGAGCTCAGAGACCTGAAAGGAACTGCCCAAGACTGTGTCACCAGCACGGGAAGCAGAGACTGTATGACTCGAGCCCACACCAGCTCCTCTACCAAGAGGTTCTTCAGCCGTTCAGTATGTCTGTTGAAGCTGATGTGTCCCAGCAAAATAATTCCCCTAGCAGATCCTGCACACTAACCTCAGAAAAGGCCTTGCCCTGGGTTTGCATTTCTGTGGGTTTCATTAAGAAAACCCCACTATTGAGGTGGTTGCATTAATCTCTCTACCTTACAAAGATGGTGCCCACGCAGCTAGCCAGGGCAGCTCCACGGTGACATCCCACTGAGTGACAGGGAGGGGGATTGTGGCAGAGTGGCCCATGTCAGGAGAGAAGGCACTCTCTTGTCCTCTGCCTCAGGGCCTCAGCGGAGTTTCTTCTTTGAGGCTGAGACCACCCTTCCATTCAGTTATGCATCTGTTCATCCACACACCATGTGTATGAAACGTAAGTCTTCAGTCTCTAGCCTGGTAAGGTGTAATGGTGGAGGCAGACCAGTTCATCAATAGTCCCAGCCCAGAACAGGAAGAGAGAGGTGAGCCCAGTGCACTCTGAGGGCCCGAAAGACTACATAGTCTCAAGTTGGACCTTATATGAAAAATAAAATATTTTGTCAACAAGCTGAATGCACTGGCAGGTCATTTGTTTGCTAAAGCAGATGTAAGTTACACCATTCAGAGCTTGTGATGAGCAAAATAAGTGGATTCATAGTTGGCCTCTGCATCTTTATCATTTGTGGCTTCTTTGAAGAGTTCAAAAGTGTCAGATAGCTTGAGAATGCCTAGTTCTACTTTGGAAAATGTTTAAAGAGGATTTAAGTAATTATTTTCCCCCTTCTCATGTTTAGAATCAATTGAGAAATAAGGTCCAAGAGACAGTCAAATGAGATTAAAATGCCAGCTTTTTAAATTAAGACTAAAAGGAGAATACTGCTTTAGACCTGAGGCCAGATGGTTGCTAAAACATTGCCTCAGCATGTAAAAGACCGAGTTACTTCATACCGGAATAAGTGGACTGTGACAGGGCAGCCTGCAGGCCCCCAGTGAAGAGGGACTGTAGGCGTAGTGGGGCGCTGGCAGGGTGGAGGAGCTTGCTAAGTTCCTTCCCAGACCCCAGGAAGGGCCCACCTACCCGCAGGGAAGGGATGAGAAGACAGGCAGAAACCTCCTAAAGGTTCTCCCTGCTTTTCTCTCCTGGCAGCGGGGATGGCTGCAGTTGGGATCAGGAAGCAGTGTCCTCCCATCAGGGCCTGGAAACTCCCCCAGCCAAGACATCTTGCCTTGAGCCCCCCTCTTGAGAAGAGTCGGCAGAGGTAGCAGCTCCATAGAAACTGCCCTGCATTTAATCGGCTGGCCAAGCCACTAAGTACTTTTTCATCTGTGCTTGTTGCGTTGGTCTTAACCGTGAGGTAAGGAAGAGGAAAGCCTCATAGCCCTTGTGCAAATGAGGAAACCACTCAGTTCGGACAGGGTTTTCTGGTAGGAATAACGCATTCCTGCTCCAAAGCCAACGCAGCCCTCTGCTTCTCTTGACCATGTGCCGCTCTCCCTCCTGTTGAGGGAACTGGGCTGGCTCTGGAGTCTAGCGACGTGGGTGTGGCCTGCTCAGGCTGTTGGCCAGAGCCAGGCTAACTTTCTCAGAGCCCTGCATTGATAGGAAAGCCCACTGCCTGAAAATGCACAGTGAACCCCTTTCGGGGCCCCTTGTTCGTGTTTCCCCCAACTGATTGATCTGAAAACAGAATAATTACCTGCTTTCCTATCTGTCAGACTCTAAAAAGTACGTATCGGCGGGTGCCTCTGTTCTTCTCTCACTTGATCAAAGACCTATGACATTGTTTAATGTAGAGTTTAAAAAGCTGGTTAAACCAGAGTCCTAGTTGAGCACCATTGTGGCTTCCAGAGAACTGGGCAGAGAGTTTCAGACACCACCCTAGGACCAGCTCTTAGAACACACTGCTGCTTGTCTGGAGGGTTCTTGCCTTTCAGGCATGAGCTGATCACTTGTACCCATCACATGCTGGGCAGAAGGCACTTAGCCAGCAAATGGCTTCTCTGCACCCTTGGCTCTGAATGCCCTGATAAACTCCTTCTGCTCCATTGAGGTTGAAAGTGATACTCCTTTCAGTTCAGCCATTGCTCCCAAACGTCTCTGGCAGTTGTCTGTGTTTTCCAGACACCTCAAACAGTGGCCTCCAGGGAGAACACACACACTCCCTCTCCTGTGCTTCCTCCATCCAAGTGGTGCCGCTGTCCATCCAGAACCTGGCTCCGCGCCACCTCAGGGCCTCTCCCTACTCCTCCCAATGCTGCTAAGTCCCTTCTCCCTCGATTCTGCTTCAGCCGTGGTGCCAGGTGTGTGATCACTCAACTGGACTATGCCACAG